TTATATAAGGGGTTAGGCCTAATTAAGGGCCGATGTAGCTCAAGTTCCAAGCTAATATTTTAGTTTTGAATCCCAATACCGTCCATCACGCTAAATGTTAAATAGGTAGGATGTTTTAAATAGGACCTGGTCCTAAATGCGGGTGGATACAGTCCAATCTCAAACCTCACGTTTTAGTTTTTATGTCGATATCCTCCGTGATAAAAATGATTACAACATATGGCTTAATCGACTAAATCGTTTTAAAATTCCATACAATGTGGGGTAATAACTGAAAATTTCGTCTACCGAATAACCCCCCTACTATGGTGGAATACAGCTATATGGGATAACCCCAACACCCGGAAAAAATCAGCTATTTTAAAATAAAAAAGGGAGTTATATGGGGACTACCTCTAAAAGGGGGTGAATATTAATAATTTTTGGTAGGAAGATTTGTTACCATATACCACTGCAAAATACCAAATTACAGCGAATTCGGTTGAAAACCGTGCTCAAGAACCCCAAAATACCGAAAATTGGAGGGTACCCTTATATGAGGGCTACCTGAAAAAATGGACCTATATTAATAATTTTTGTGGAGAGATTAGATACCCAATAAGAACTCAAAGTACTAAATTACAGTCAATTCGGTAAAAAAAAATCCGGTCAAAACCCCCCAAAAACTGGAAATTGGGAGGTACCCTTATATGGGGGCTACCAGAAAAAGTGGACCTATATTTATAATTTTTAGTGGAGAAATTTGGTACCCAATGAGAACCCAATGTATCAAATTTCAGCGAATTCGGCTGAAAAACGCGCTCAAGAACCTCAAAATACTGAAAATTGGGGGTACCCTTGTATGGGGGCTGTCCGAAAAAATGGACCTATATTTATAATTTATAGTGGGGAGATTTGCTACCCAATAAGAACTCAAAGTACCAAATTTCAGCGAGTTCGGTTGAAAAACACGCTCAAGAACCTCAAAATAACGAAAATTGGGGGGGTACCCTTATATGGGAGCTATGCCTAAACGTGGACCGATATATCCCATCTTCGAACTTGACCTGCCTGCAGATAAAAGACGACTCTATGCAAAATTTTGAGGCACTATCTCAATTCGGTTAGACGCTAGAGTGATTACAAGTACTATAGAAAGGCCCTCCCTCGTGGGATCTGTAGCCAAACCTAAAATATCGACATCCACGTCGGCTGAATAAAATGCCCGAATTCGCCTAGGGGCTACTCGAAAAATGAGACCAATATTTTTAGTTTTATTGGGGAGAGTTGGTACCCAATAAGGACACAAAGTATGAAACTACATCCAATTCTGCTGAAAAACGACTTGGGGGTACCGCTATATATTGGTGTTATGCCCAGTAGAGAGATTTGGTTTGTAATAAGAACCCAAAATACGAAATTACTTGTAATTCCTATAAAAACTTGTTCAAAACCGCCAATGTACCTTTAAATGTCTAAACGTGGACCGATATAGCCAAATAAGTTCGATATTACCGAACAAAAGACAAATCTATGCTAAGTTTTTGCAGTCTAGCTAAATTTTTTAGACTCTTGAGTGATAACTCCAGACACACGGACATGTGTAAATTTTGGACATGCCATAGAATTTTAGGCTGATCAAGAAAAAATATATTTTATAGGATCGGACATGCTTACCGCAAACATAGAAGATAAAAATCAGACATAGTTAAAAAGGCCATAACTCAAAACCTTGACATATGGCAAATTGGTCCTCCTTCGTTATTAATATAGTGGCCAAAATCTAGTTTCACAGTGTTATATATGTACAGCGGAAGGATTGACGGACTGTTCTTGGACATTTATAAATCGGCTCAGAAAATGATTCTCACATTCTTATCCTCAAGTAAAGTAAATATGGGTATATCTCTAAAACTAACTAGATATCAATAATTGTTTACGGAATTGAGTACCATAGAAAGGCTCTCCCCACCCGTGGGATCTGTAGCTAAACTTAAAATATCGATATAAATTTAGTAAGTCTATTTAAATACATTTTAAAATGATCTGTTATGTCTTTTTGCTACAAATGAATTGTAAATAATTTTCCAGAAGTTCTTCTATAACAACATTTTTCCATTTTTCCCGCTATGCTTGGCTGGTGATTGCATTTCCTTTGTTTGGTGATTGTCGTTATAGGCAACTACTTTCTCTTCTTAGCGTTTCATGATGTTTCAACAGTAAGAAATACGAAAAAGCAATTTTTTGGCAGGATTTCTCAAGACTTACAAAAAAATCAAAGAAACGAAAAAAAGCAGACTCACCATATTTTTTTCAACATCTTCGCCGTTTTCACTGACTGACTGGCTGACTGATTTTATTGCAAAGTACTGCCATTTCAAAAAATTTTTTAAATGTGCAAATGGACGTTTATTCAAGAAACAAAAAATGATGGAAAAACTAGCATTTCTAGAAGCCACTTCTTGGGAGGTGTGTAAACGAGAAAAAAAGAAACTTTGGCCAACCCATAATTCATAAAGAAAACAAGACGGAACAAAAATATAAACAGAACTTCTGTCATCTTTTTTTCTTCCTCTTCTTCTCATTTTTGCACCAACATCAGGCTTTTAACTGCAGTTTTACTAAGTGTTTACGGGGAGTTGCAGTATTTCGTCGACACAAAATTCGGCAAAAAAAACCCAAATGCCGAGAAAATCATCAAACTCCACAGGACGAAAAAAAAAGAAATGAAAATGCGAAAGAGAATGGGAGTGCCAAAAGTGACATTATGGCAGTGAAGTGACTCTTGAGTCGACACAGAAAAATAAAAACACCATAATAATAAGTGAATGCTTTCAATGGAGCAATTCGGCAAGTAAAATGGGTCGAAGTTAAGTCTTATAGGCTTTAAGAGGGCAAACGCAATAGAAGTGCCAAAGAAATAAGATGTATTATTAATAGATGAATGGAAATGGAAAGAACATCTGACGGTGTTGAAAATGTTTTCAAATGAATGCAACATATTATTGAAATTGTGAGTTTTTGGGGTTGTGAAAAAAAATTCAGGGGATATTATCTTCAAAAGGGTTATATCTCCCAAAGATGTGCAAATATCAAATATACTTTATAGAGTCTCCGATAAATTTTGAGAGTTGTTGCAATCGATGTGGCAAATATAATATTTCACCATATGGTGGTGGAGGTCTTAAAGAAGATCTGGAGATCTTCATATATGATACTAGAAGGTCTTTCTCTAGGAATCAGATCATCAGAAGTTTTTCCTGTAACAGATCAGAGTACCTTATTGTAGAAGTCAAGGCTTGCTTTCAGAGGTCATATTATAGTAGACACGATAGATGTATAATAGCAGATCATTATATATATTTTATATAACGTAGAGCGATTATATGAAATAAATAAATTATATGAATTATGATATAGCCTGTCATCCCTGCGATGTTGTAAACTGCGGCTTCTCAAGTCCTATAATTTGTCATTAAGATTCATGGTCGTCAAGAAGTTATTGTAGGAAAAATAAGTTCCTTTAAACGAGAAGGAAAGCATTGCTAGTTGTCAGATACATAACCTCAGCCTATGTCCAACTTTTCAAACTAAATTAAGGTTTAGGTACAACGTTTTCGTCACATTTGTATATACACAACTATTATATCGAGGGTATATTATTTTGTCATCCCGTGTGTATCTCATCGACATATGCAGGGTAAAATTCTAAGACGATCTGTATCGGTATCGGTCCATGTTTCGGCATAACCCCCATATAAGGATAACCCATCACACCAATTCCGTTTTTTTGAGGTTCTTGAACGCGTTTTCAACGAATTTGTTTTGGAATAAAAAAAAATGTTTCGAAAATCAGAAACTCTGTTAGTGGTACATATTAATTCAAATTAAGAACATTTTAATTCAAATTAAGGCTGCATTCTGTCCATGGTGTATGTCTTTATTCAACATACACTAAGTGTTCTATATGTCTAGTTTCATTAAAAACATGTAAAACTTGCTAATATTCGGTACAAAACATTGGTGACAAATTTGAAAATTTAACACGATGTCAGCCTGCTACCTTATTTGGTTTAGATTCTAACTTTGTTATCTAATGTAATTACGAACCAGTACGAAAAGTAAGGAATTCGGACGGTGCCGACATATAAGAGAAGCTAATATGTACAATATCCTGTAGATAGGATATACCATCTTTGGAGGACACTTGAAATGGGATCAGGCGATATTAAAATTGTAATCTACATAGTTAATATATATGGAAGCGAAGAAAAATTGGCTCTTCGGTGCCCCATTTGCATGAAATCGGACGAAATTATATATCTAAATCCTATATCTAAATCCTATTCAATATGCTAGACTCGATTCAATATGCTAAACATAATATCATGCAAATTGAGCAGGATCTATGCATCATTAACATAAAATCGGACTAAGGTATATGGACCTAATTAAGTACGCTGTGCATTTTTTTTCTCAATTTGACAAATATTGGGAGATTGGTGCACCATTTACATAAAATCGGGCGAAACTATATATAAAAGCTATATCAAAATCTGAACCGATCCCAAGAAAACTTCGCATCCACTAAAATGTACCTATTTCAGAACGCTGTGGAAAATGTTGTCTCAATCGGATAATTATTGGGAATATGGTGCACCATTTACTTAAAATCGGAGTAAAATATATATGGGAGCTATCTTAACCGATTTTTTCCCAATTTCTGTAGGGTTTGTCCTTAGGCCATATAAGTGACTTGTGCCAAATTTCATCCGAATAAGATCACAAATGCAACCTGTACATTATTCACAAGAATACATGGACAGACGGACAAGCATAAATCAACTCAGAAAATGATCCTATGCATATTCTCAAATGGAATCGTGTTTCCTTTTGTCTGTTACAAATATACGCACAAAAACATAATACCCTGTACCACAGCGTGGTGAAAGGTATAATAAATATACTGAGTTGGTATTTTCAAGAGAATATAAAATTGGTTATCCTGATATTGAACTTACCTTGTGCTGAGGTACATGTCGTCAGCTGCGGTGAATACCGATCCGTTAATCTCTTAATAACATCGATTTGTTCTAATGTTAATTGTACTGCATCTCGATGTTGGGCCTCACAGGGTACATATGCAGCCCAAAACTATAAAGATAATAAAATATATAAAATATATTAGACATCAAGTATTCAAAATCAAATGTTCATATAAAATATATTACATATTTTGCTAAAAGACAAATACAAATGTAGTAATTTTTTTTACCAAAAAAGAGGTTTCAAAATATATTCATTTATTTTTATGAATTTAATTTCATAAAAACACATTTTAGCCTTCTCATACCCCTGAAAACCGCTTTATTTTTTATTTAAGAAATATTAAAACGTAGCCACCCCTACCACACCATTATCATCTGTTTTAAATGTCCATTTTATATCCTTTTTTTAACACACATTTCAACAACATTGATATGCATACATGACGTTGATTATGATGATGGCTCATAAAGAGGGAACGAAAATTTCACAGAATTGTGAATAGAAAACCCATTGCCGCTTCAATCAAATATTCATATCTCTATGCTTGGGTACGCCACCTGTTACCTTCGCATCTTTATGATGATGTCTTAACACTTTTATGCCATATCAATGGATCATAAAATTAATATAATATATATTTCGTTTCTGTAATGTTGTTTTAAATAAAATAATGAAGTAAACGTAAATTGAGTCGTAAACATATATTGCGTACTCGGTTTGTTTGTTGGTATTAGGGGAGTTCATTTTGTTGTTATCCAATTTTGAAATTAAATAATTGGGAATTACCTTGAGTGCGACATATTCATTATTAATGAAGTTCCTCCAAGTTCCATCGTGGTACAAAGGCTAATTTGTTTACAGAATTCCGGGAATTTATTGTTGAGAGATAATTGGGAATAATTATTAAGTAGTATGTTTTATTGTCCGGGAGATTTTGTATTTTCCTTACTAGTTTTTTTATTTTAACTTTTCGGAATTCCGCTACTGGTATGGTATTAAATTTTTGTTTGCAACCTTATGGTGTAACCCCATAACCTCATCACCCCTATTACAAAGTTATAGAAATAAACACGACTATAAAATTTAATGTATAACAAAAGCAAGATGCAGAGTGTGAGAGATCATCGTGAATGACATGCATGTGAACGTTTAATGCCACATAAAATTCAAATTACCAATTTAGCTAATATGGCAGAAAACATATTCTCCCCACCCATCTAAATCTCTTTCAAATTCCACATGCACCACAAATAGAGTTGCAGTAATTTTTTGCAATTTGACCGGGCCATTGTCTGCTGCATTAAAATACACAAACGAGCGACGTGACTTTGAAATAGGACAGAGCAAAGACATTTGGATTTCCAACACACACACACAAAATGCCCTTACTCACACATACATGCAAAAGATAAACTGAAACGAAAGTATTCCGAAGGAAAACATGAATGAACATTCAGTGGCCATTACAAGAATTTAGTTAACAAAATAAAAAATGAAGGATTTCTCTGAAAGTTTTCGGGAAAAAAGAAAACAAAAAATAGTTGGGTGATTTAAAGTAATTTTCCAAAGATTTGAACTGAATTCAAAGTATTTTGTAAAAGTTACAAAATAGTGCTCCACCACAACATGGAGGGTCCACCAAAACTTTGCTGAATGTATGTTCCATTGCAAGTTATTTTCGGAGGGTTGCCATGTGATTGAGCACACATGCACGTTTACATAGTTGTTGTCGCCACAGAATGTTGCACTCTCATTCAGTATGGGCATGACTAGATTTTGTTTATTTTTTCAATACTCAGATACCCTACACCACCAAGTAAGTAGAATAGTTCAGGAACAATTTCGCAAACTCTGAAGGTAAAACAATATAAACATTCGAAATATTTCAAATCAGATTGTGTGGGACCTTCGATATACCAATAAGGGGCGAGTAATACACATGGAGGCCATGTCGAAACATGAACCTTTTAAAATAATGTTTTTTAATCTTTTAAGGCCCATTGAAAATCTTGAAAAAATAAAATAGAGAATGGGGGGGGGGGCACTATTTTATTTTTTCAAGATTTTCAATGGGCTGGTAAATCAATACCAATGCTTGTTAAGGTTTGTAACTTTACACATATATGTTTGAAGATTTAAAGGAGAGGAAAAATAATTTACAAAAAAATTCGTTGTTTTGATGTTGTTGTTTTTTTGCAATTAAAGAGAAGTCCTTATTTTTCATGGCGGGCATGATAACTCCTCACTGGAACATCGGAATCCGAAAACGGTGTTAGAAAGAGTACATGTCTGGCTCTCGTATGAACTAGGATTATTGACTTCGCTCTAAAATTAACAAAATAACGGACCTTTGAAAAAATATTTTTGGAAAATCGCCGATTTTTGACCAAAAACCAAGTTAAAAAATAAGGAAGATATTCACCGATTGGCTTTATCCTAGTTCACACGATAGTTATACACTCACAGAGGAACTTGTAAAAAATTGGAATCGATTGGGTTATTAGTTTTTGAGTTATCGTGCCCGCCATTCCAAAAGAGAAAAACGTGTTTAATGTTTGAGAAGCCCTTTAGCCGTCATTTGATGCTGACACAATAAATCGGCTATATCTTCAGAGTTCTTGAGATTTTCACATGAAATTTTGTAAGGACATTCTTGAGTTAGTGTAGATTCGAATTAAACCAACAAAATGTTTGAACCCGAGAATGGGGGGGGGGGGGGGGTTCCCTTAAGTCAGTTTAAGCTTAAAATCGAAGTTTTGCAATACAATAGGAAGAACCTACGTACCCACTTCCCCTGGATTTCCAGAAGAACCCTTTTAAAATTCAATCAAATGATTCAATATAACACACGGTACTACTTTGGCTGGAATATATTAAAAAATGAACTTATGTCGATCATTCTATGCGAACACTTTTATATGCTCCACCATAAGGAGGAATGTATATTAAGATACAGTTCTGAAATTTTGCACAGACATTGATAGTATTTCGAGGATATTTGGGCAACTCCATTTTTAGCGTTTTGGTGATGTTGGACACGTTTTCACGTGGAATTGGATATTATTCTGTATTTTAAGTTCCCTTTTTATAGGAAATCACCATTCCAAAATTTGGTATTTTGATTCCCCATTTGTGTACATTGGGTTACAATTGGTATCAAATTTAATTCCAAAAACTACCAATATTGGTCAGCTTTTTAAAGAAGCTCCCATATATTTTGGTGAGTTTGCACACGTTTTAAGCCAAATTGGATGTAATTTAATATTTCGAATTCGCATTGGGCGTCAAATCTGACTACCATATATTATCGGTCCCTGTTTTGATATATCGTCCGTATAACGGAAACCCCACTATTTAAAGTTTTTGGGATTTCAGACGTCTTGTTTAAACATCACGTGTCATTTTCGGTATGTTCTGGGAGTTTCGTTTTCTCTTCAAAGCCTCAATCGACCTAGGTATTTTGCAAATATACTTCATGCTGGAGGATATAAAAAGCTCGGTCCGCCATTCCGAATGCCAAATAAAGCCACCTCTGTTAAAAAAAAGGAGGACAGAAATATAAAAATACCTAAAATGGGGACATATATATGATGTCTATGTCGACGCATGCATTTTGCAAATATGTTTATAACCTTCCGAGAACATACGGTTGAAAAATTTGGCTACAATTTTAACAAGTAAAATCGAAGTTAAATTCGGCCCGCCAGAATGACATCAGCTTTGAAATCCGAAGTGTTGTCAACATATGCTACTATGGTCTGACACGCTGATACTACCCGCGCTGTTATATGGATCTGAAGCATGGGTACTTGCACAAGCAGTGTTTGAGAGAAAAATTCCTCGAAAGATCTATGGGCTGGTCTGCGTATCTCCGTCGAATGAACCATGCTTTGCACCACCTATTCTCGGACATAGACATAGTCTGACGTATCGAGCTGCAGCGACTACATTAGCTAGGTCATGTTGTGAGAATATATCCTCACCCGCAGCACAAAGGCAAAAGGGGAATGTCACGAATTAGATGGAAAGGTCAAGTGGAAGAGAACATTTCGAAACAGGTATTTCAAAGAGGAAAAGCTGGCCTACAAGACCGACGCGGTTGGATTTTTTTTTCAGCTCGGCTCGTGGAATAAATGTTCTGTCGCAAGCCAGCTAAGTAAGTAATATTAAATATTGCGATCCCTATTGGAGGTCACATACAGGAATTCTATGAATAGAACTACATGTAGAGGTTTTCTACACACAGAATACCTTATACAGGTCTTCTACAGATAGAAGTTTATATGCAGGTCTTCTATAGACGAAAAGGCTATATTCATTTATTCTACATATAGAAAACCATATGCTGGATTTTTCCTGGTAGAAGATACTATACAGGCTATATATAAACCTTTTTGCTGGTCTTCTTTAGACCAATCACATTATGCAAGTCATCTATTACTATAACACATATTCAGAGTACTGTATACATACATACACTCTTATAGTAGTCTGTCGTTAGAAAATTTACAGGTCGTCTGTTGAAGCACGGCGTTATTAAGATCTCCTTATTTATACATAGAAATCTTTATTCGAGTGTTCTGTAAATGGAAAGTATTATAAATAAACCACGTATATGGTCGTGCGATATAACGGTATGTTCAGGTCGATCCACTGATATTACAAGATGGAGGGTATAAAAGATCGACTCAAGTATACTAAGCAAAATTTCATTTGTTTAACTTCGTTTTCCTAGTATTTTTTATACCCTACACAACTATGTTGTCAGGATATTATAGCTTTGTGCAGCCCCAAAGGTTTGTAACGCCGCGAAATATTGGTCCTAGACCCACCTTTCGATCGTATACCGATCGAAATATGTGTGTCCGTCTGTCCATTATAATTTGTAAACACGAGAAATTTTGCATTTGCGATGGGTTCTGGCCAATGAAGACAGCTTTTGTTTTTGAAAAGATCGGTTAATATTTATGGGATGAAATTAACCAAAAACTTTATTTTTGTCGGTTTTTCTGGTCGCTCCAGAGGCCGCAATTATGGCCCAAACACCGCATGAAGAAGGGGATCGGGTCAAATAATAAGCATGTCTGTTTTGATAAAGATCGGTCAATATTTAGCGGGTCAAATGGACCCTAACTTTTGTGTGAAAAATTATATTGTCGTAGTTACAGATGCTTATATCATTATCATATATCATTTAGTAACCTATTACCACATTGGAGGGCAGAAATATAGCGCTGATCGCTTTAAAATGTTCCATGAGGTTCCAGTTATGGTCAAGGACAACGCCTAAAATGTTAGGTGATGATCAGATAATAATTTTTCGGATGAAGTGGACCGAAAACTTAATTATTTGTACTCTTCGAGTCGAAAGCCGAACATCACAACACAGCCCACGGTGAAGGGAATGTGGACATGTAATTAGAGGGGCTGTACTGATTATTAGTAAAATTTGTTGACCCCAATCTCAGAATATAGAACCACAGAAAGTTAGATTTTCATGGAAGTTGTGTAGGATATCTTATGGTCGGCCCCGTCCGTCTATACTGCTCCGCTCACTGGTTTTTTGAATAAACTTGTTTCCCAGAAAAGTCGCTTATTTTTTTTTTCCAACCTCACTTCACATACATACGTACGTGTATATGCATCACAACAATTCCGTTTAGAGGGCTACATATCGCATTGAATGCAAGTTAACACTATTTCCGGTATGCCAGAGAACAAACACAAAAAAATTGAACATGACGAGAAGAACAACAGCAACAATGACCAAAAACATTGCCTTACTTATAAATCGTTCATCAAATGTATGTATGTCTGCTACAACGACGACTGTCTCTCCGTATTGTTGTTGCATACCGGTAATGGTAAGGACAAATACTTCAGTTTCAAACTCACGACGATCTCGCAGTATGTATTGACATTGTAATATAAGCCAAGGGAAATGTTTACAATTCCAACTTCAAACATGACCACCACCACCAAATGGCTGTTTTTTTGGAATTGCTATGCCATGGCTATTTTCTGCGCTTTGCAACAACGTTTTGTTGTTTTGTTCCAGACGGGTGCATACCGGATCACGTGATGGCAATAACTAGTGGAACTGAGGGCACAAGAAAAAAACACATCTTGTTAAGGACATTGGTGAAATTTATTTTCTTAAATCAAATTGCCCGGACTATTTTCGGAATAAGAATAAGTTGCAAATGCTCTAGTACAAATACTAAGGTGTTAAATGGCAATACAAGAATGTAAAATGGTAAATACGAGTATAAATCTGGCTGGTGATAAATGCCGTTTGAAAGGAAAATAAACGTGCCAAATAGTTTTGTATTTAATTTCGTGATAGATGGAGGAACCTGATAAGGTGCAAAATATTTGTCAGTTGTATAGTAATAATATAGACGATCGTATTACAACTCAGATTCATTAGTTTTGAAGTGTGTTTACAAATGTATATACGTATACAACTATGAAAGGTCTTTTCAGTTACATGAATTTACGTGGAGAGTATATGAACATGGAGAGTATATGAACGGTCAATTCAGGTTTGCCGGGGCAACATTCAATCTATACCAAGGAAGATACTAAATTATAACATAATAGAAATATAAGTGAAATAAACATCGGTCATGTCAGCTACACTCTCAAACATACTGATAAAAATAGCCATTTGGTTGAAAAATGCTGTTAAAATCTATAAAATATAGTAAATGGAATTATACCAAAAATTGGAACCTATATATGCCCTCCATCTTAAATATTGAAGTTTTTACCGAGATTTCAACAGACTAACGAACACGATTATATCGGTATAGAATTTTATTTTGATTAAGAGTATTGTGTTTAAATAAGTCTTCGAACAAATCATCATATACTCCGAATCGAGGAGGATGAGAGGCTTTATATTAAAACCAGTAAGGAAAGTAGTAAAGTCGACTGGGCCGACTGTATGATACTCTACACCACTTTGGGTATATTCTACATATGGGAAATTACAAAAATCTTTTAAATTCCTTGAAGCTGAGGTTTGCAAGGTTATAACTCGCGAAATATGAACATATTGCATATAATTTAAATTCATTTCTATAAAATGAAGTGTTGTTGTCAAAATCTTAAAATATTGGTAATAAATAATAAGTTTGGTGGAAGCTGTGATGGTGGTAATGTAAAAAAATGGGTGAAAATGTGTTGAAGTCAACGAGTTTTTTTGTGTTCGTTCCTGATTTGTGGCTAAACTACACAACGCACGCATATGTGATCAGTGACTAAGTTGCAGAATACCCCATGGACAATATGGTTCTAATGTATGATTTTTCGATATAATCACTGCATCCACCCAAAAAGGATGCTGTTTTTGAATTTTTCTTATAATTAGGATGCGCATCCAGATAATGGACTAAACTGATTATAGGATTGTAGAACTCGTGAGTTTGCTTCGTTTGGTGTATATTTCATGAATGTGCTCACCTTAGCGTAAATTTTTATAAAAAACATATTTTTTGACTCTACAATTTAGAAAGTCTATTCAAATTTCGTGGAACCCCGCGTGATTTTAGTTTTTTACGTGCCGGATCTAATGAGCCCATCCGTGTTCAATTCCGCCCAATAAAACGGCGGACATAGGTACCTTGAATGTGGGAAAAACTGCAAAAAATTTTTTTGACAAATTCGCGTATATAATCGCGTTTTTCTTCGAATTGATTTCACATACATTCATTCTTGTGTTATCATATTCGCGAATCTGTGTGAAAATAGGTCAAAAATATATCGATAAGCGAATTATATGCGTATTTTATCCAAAATCGATTGTGGAGGCACATCCGCGGTTCTTAACCGATCCTTTTAAAATAGGTGTCCTTTTGTGTATTTTTATAGGAGATTACTGAAATCGGATGCGCATAAAAATCGTATGAACGTTGCGTGATTTTTTGCCATTTTTAGGGTTTTTGCATAGTAAAGTGCATCGAGCGGCACACTTTGACCGCTAAATTAAACATCGAAAAATTCATAATTATTGAAATTCGGTTTATACAAAAACCGCATGCGCATCAACCTTTTAATGTTGATCATTTTCATATACTGCAACTGCAATATATTTGGTAATTTTTAAAGTCAAAACTCTTAACAGATGAATCTACCGATATTTAATAATCATCTAAAAGAATTTGTAGAAGAAATCGTCACGTGTTGTAGAAGATCTAGACTAAACCGTATTATTAACCATACCAAAACATCAAAAATTAAAAAAAAAACATTTTGTGGCAATTCAAAAATTTATTTATTTTATTTTCAGATATTTTCAACCTTTTTTTGTTTTTCGCGACTATTAAACCGTAATTCAATGTGATTTGCCTAGTAATGCGAAGAAAACTAATGTGTTTAACCATTTGTGAAGATATTCGCGAATTACAACAAATAGGAGTTATTTTAATTTATATTTGAAATACAACATTTAAAACCGCTATAACTTTTGTGCGCAGCTTCCGAATTTGTGAACACGAAAGATTTTGAATCAGCTTATTTTCCTTAACCTATGTACCAAAAATCAGGAATGTGCTCGCAAAAAAATTTTTCAATTTTTTTAATGAAATTTTAAAAGAATTTTGTAATTTCCCATACGTCTCCTAACAGACGTCGCCTTTTCGAAAGAACATTGACATGAAATTGAACGAACTTGAATATGTGATCTTTATGCCATTCTGGAACCTATGCTAAATTTCATTTCATTTGGGCAAGTCGTTTGCGTACAATAGCATAAATTTATGTAAAACAAACTTAGCACACATCAATACAGACTTAATTTAATACGCTGTGCCAAATCGCATGTAAATCGAAAGATATTTGGGGACTTTGGTGCACCATTTATATAAAATCGGACGAAACTATATATACGAACTACATGTAAATCTGAATTTATTTCAAAAAAACTCGACACACGTAAAGTTAAATCTTGATGCGCAAATTTCGTGCAAAACGAAAGATATATAGGGACTTTGGTACACCACTTACCTTAAATCGGACGAAAATATATATGAGAGCTATATTTAAATCTGAACCGATTTTCAGGAAACTTAACACCCATCATTCTAGACCTAATTCATTACGTTGTGGAAATTTCGTGCAAATCGAAAGATATATAGGGACATTGGTGCACCATTTACATTAAATTGGACAAAAATATATATGGGAGCTATATCTAAATTTTAACCGAGTTTTCCCAAATTTCAATAGGTTTCGTCCTTGGGCCAAATAAGTGACGTATGCCAAATTTCTAATTCGGATCATAAATGCGACATACATAAATCGACTTAGAAAGTGATTCTATACATATTATGAAAAGGAACCATGTGTCTATCTCGTTTCCTTTTGCCTGTTACAAACATATGCACAATGACATAATACCCTGTACCACAGTGTGGTGAAAAAGCATCATAGTTTCTTGATAATACCTTGCAAACGCAGTATTTTATTTTTACCCAGACAACCTGTTACGACCCATGTCTATTTTCTTTAACAACACTTCTAATTACATTTACACTTTATGTAACATAATTTGCCAAGCCATAAGCCTATTTATGTGGAAATTCCGACATTTCAATGAAAATGCTCACCAATCAATCTTTAACCTCGACAAATGATAAAGTCTTACACTTGTCTAATTTTGTCAAATTAGATGTAATAGTGTCACTGAATATTCCGTTATTACAGAGTGTGGGAGGCATAGTTGTAATTATCTCCATACCACTCATCTCTATTTACGTCTACGAATGATGGTTACATTGATTGTGGTCGCGGTTGGAAACGTTCGTGTTGCTGTCGTTGTTGTTACATTATGTATGTATCCATGAAACCTAATAAATTTACAATATTGCCTTGGAGATAAGGTTAAAGCAGTCAGTTTGCCTCGCTCTTCTAATGATATCATGCGTTCTAAGTTATTTGCTTTAGCTAATAGGACATTTCCTTAATTTGAATGTGTTCAGAGTTATATTATGAAAATTAGAGGCCACGGAAGTGAATATGACATTTGACTGTTGGACAATATTGTATCAATTGAAAACCCTCCTTTGAAAAAAACTCTCTTCTTCTTTGAAAGTCAAAGATTTCGAAGTAATAATAAAATGTTTATTATAAATGTTGAACTTTTCTTCAAGGAATTTAAAAGATTTTTGTAATTTCCTAACCACATATATATGCTTTCATCATTAAATTTGTATTATATTCTTGAGTTATAATTTCAAAATGCGTACGTATTACTCCCCAACATTTTGCAACTACTAACATTTGTACTTTTCCATCGTACACACACTTATACTTAATCATTTGTAAACATAATAAATGTATTTATTTCGGTTCTAAGAAACTCTCTTATTTCATACCCTAAATACGAATTCGTGTACCACAACAAAATTCCCTCAATTACCCAATGGTAACCACCACCTACATAGTTACCAAGAAGGGAAATAATATTTTTGTTGTGTTACATTTTATCCCTGACTCAATGCGTTTACATTTGGCGGGGCAGGTGAAAGTCGTTGTAGGTGTTGTGCCAACCACCACAATCCAGCAAAGGAAATAACGGGAAACACTATAAAATCTGTAATATTAAGAAGCTGTGTATAACCCGAAAAGTGGAATGAAAGTAATTGCAACAACATTTCATTATTATTATTATTTAGGTTTTTCTTTTAATAATTAAGAATTCTTGTAAGTTATTCAGTGTGTTTAATTGTGTGTGCATTTCGAAGAAATGCACACACAACCGAGACATTTAATTGCATTTAATATATTTATTAAAGCAAACTTTACCACGAAAATAAAAATTGACGGAACTTACAATGGAACATAAGATATGAAAGTCTGAGGTCAGACGGATCGGCCGTCACCTCTCCAAAGATTTTGGGTTATTCATAAAGAACAAACATTTCGATCGGACGGAAATAGAATATTTGGTGAACTTTGGCTATGAAACCGTATTGCGATTCATATATGGCAGTCGAATAGAGTTTGGAATATCGGTGTACACATTACAAGTGTTATATCACAATTTGCATGAAATCGATCATAATGTATATGAGAGCTATATCTACA